TCAAGCAGAGAGGGAAGAAAAGTGTAACTTGATTAGCACTGGCTGTTTAGTCAATGAGTGCTGAATGTTTCCATATAAGGAAACAGCTGATATTACCATTACTAGTTTTTTTCCTTTAAATATTTATTGCCAAGACAAATGTGGTTGTTATATGGCAGAATAACAGTACTAAATCACTGAAGGTAGAACTCCAATGTTAGAAGTTATTTTAATCTGGACAACACTAGATAATCTTGCTGGGATATTTAATTATAATTTATACATTTTAATTTAATTTTTACTTGCTTTCAATATTTATATAGCTGGGGTGTACTTTTTGAATGTTCAATTTTTTCAGCCATTTTTCAATAGAAAAGAAGTATAAAGAGATTAAAAAAGAGATTAAATATAAAGAGATTAAGTTCTTTGGATTGTGTAAATAGCAAACAATATTAAAAATCTAAAAAGTTTTTTTTAAAAATGCCTCCATAAATATCTGTAGTAAACACACAAATAGTTCTTCCACAAGCCTGTATATATCTTTCTGCAATTCTTTTGGCAAAAATAATGAGTGTGCTGCATGCATAAAAGACGAACGATCGTTCCTTCAACTTGTAGCATTTTCCTTCTTTTGATTTTTATCTGGACACTTGACATCAACGGATGCTTCATATGAAGAACATTTCCATCGCCATCTCTGCTGATGCAAAGATCTCTTCTCAAGCCCCGGAAGCCATTTTCCAGGTCTCTGACATGCTCATCTTTTCTTATGACCATTCATGAAACATTAGACCAGCGATCATTCTTTGACATTTTATTCATGACCATCCATCTTGTCTCTCTACCTTTTATATTAACTCTCAAGTACATTGCACTGCTGATGCTTTTCTCATGGGCAAGTCCAGTGTTTGGTTGATATAGAGCCCAACAACAGTTAACAATGAAACAGAATGAACATTTCCTGGTTTCATTGGCTTCAGTGCATTTTCTCTCTAAGCTAGATAATTCACAGACTAAATGTAACATATTTTTAAATTCTGAAACAAAGCATTGTTATTCCACCATGAAATTCAGTTGTCATTTATCATTTTTTCCTCTATTTAGATTAAATTTAGCTTAGGGATGTTTTAAACAATTAAATGATTAATTATAGTGTAAAGATTTTACATTACTTTTGTTATTATTAACCATTTGAACCCTGTGTTCCTGAACAATTTTAACCCTTCTGCCTGAGCTCCTGGGTCAAAATTTACAAATAATTGATATGTAATGTTTCAGAGTATAAAAATAGTTACAAGCATTTACCCACTGTTCAACTGGTAACTGAGCATTAATTCAATGTTCTCTACCACCAGTAAAATGGCGGTCAGGGCTCAAAGCATTAAAAGTCTAAAAATGAGAAACAATAAGTTGGCATTAGAAATTTAGATGCAAAAGGCAGTATGGTTAATGATATCATAAGAAAAGAAAATATATTTTATGAATGAATAATAAGAAGCTCTCAGCATAACTAAGAAGCCCTTCAAAAAAAAAAAAAACAATTTGATAATCTGCTTTGAATTTTTTTAGTAAGTTAGACTGAGAAGGTCTCAGCACCTGAGGTGTGCATAAAAGTTCCCATTGAAAACTAAAAACTGAATCTTCTTTTTTTTCTATGTGCCATGACCCTTCTAGATGTAGGTGATTATGGCTCTCCACAAATTCTTGTCTTCTGTAGCTCTTAGTAAAGTTAGTCTTTTTGCCATCTCTCCTACACTTTCATCCTACCATCCATTTGTACAAGCTTGTCAAATAGATGACCCCCTCCACTGTTTCACTTCATTTCACCAATATATCCTGCAAATGTCAAATTATTTTCCCAATTCATTAACCATTTTCTTTATTCCTCATTTGAATGCTGAACAATTTTTGGTAAATTTGCAGTTTAAGCCCTGCACACCAATGGTAATTAAAATTTCCTGAAAATTTCCATTTTGGTGTAAATGTACATGCTTATTTTGAAAATAACAGTAAAAGTTTTCAGAAATCTACCATTTTGGAGTTATTGACAATAAAATTTCAGACTCATTCACATTGGGTCCATCTGCCTTTACTGGGGTTGTTTACATAAGCTTACCTTGATTAGTCATATGCAGAAACTTACCTAATTAACAGCCTTTTTACAGATCTTCCTAGCTTCTTACTCATCGCAATTACTGTACAAAACCAAAAGAAGTCTTTAGACGCTTTTGAAAGTGAAGCTTTTATTGAATTCTTTTTTTTTAAATTTGTTTAAGTTATTTAGAAAAGCAATGACAAGTGTTTTTTTTTCATAGTGAAGCTGAAATAATAATTAATTCTTGTTTAAATAATAAAACAGATTTTAAAAGGTAGCCTTTCTGCAATTGTTATTGCTATTTTGGAAATAATCATGCTTAAATAAAAATTGCTTAAAATTGTTTATATTATTATTAAGTCCTTTGGCAGGTTTAGAGATTTGAACCTTAAAATTGTTCTTGCCATTATTAATTCTTTTCTAGTATTTTTTTATTTTGTAAATAATTATACTCTTTTTAAATTTCATGCAAAGTTTGCACATTGCATGTGCAATAATCAAGACAAGGGAAGCTTCCATGCATGACTACACTGAGGCAAACGTATGTAAACATATTATTGTCAATAACTCTAACATGATATATTTCCACAAACTTTTACTGTTATTTTCAAAATAAGCTTGTAAATTTATACTAAAATGGAAATTTTCAGGAAATTACAAATGAAGATGAGACTTGAGCCAACAGAGATGTGGTTCTTCAGAAGTATGCTGAGAATTCCATGGACTGAACATGTGAACAACAAGGAAGTTTTAAGGAAAATGGAAATCAAAAAGGAACATTCATACTAAGAATCAGAAAAAATTTTAATTTCTGGGTGTTATAATGAGGAAAGACAGTTTTAAATTCACTGGACATATTGACAGCAATAAGGAGAGAAAGAAACAGTTACTTACTGAATAAGGTTGTGTAAATGGATGGAAGAACAAAGAATTGAGGAGACAAGAAAAAAGACAAATATTGCTAAACTAGCTTAAAAGTTGCCCTATTGAGTGGCATTTAAGCTAGCTCCTGTGGTGGGCTCTTAATTGGGTCTTAATTAGGCCTTCATCGCAATAAGTTGCGATCTGATAAGCAACAATAAACTACAGAAGAACTCAAAATTGATCACTGCATTTAAGTATTGCATTAATATTTAAGCTTCCCTTTTAAAAGTTCAATGATGATTCTTCTGTCACCACTTAATTTAAAGACATTTAATGTATATAGGTCCTTACTTTCAATACAAACAATTATTTTTATTTCATGGGTGACTTTTCTTGGATTTTACAATTTATTTTGATTATTCCCAAATTTATTTCCAAGTTATAAAAATTGTTATCATACAAAAAATTCATAGCAAAAAATCACATAAAAAATCGCCAAAATCACACTAATGAAAACTTGAGAATCTAAAATTTCAGGGTTGCGGGTCAAGTTCCAGTCTGGAATGTTTTTAATTTGCTCATGGAGTCAGCCTGATTCCAAAACGGTATGATATGTTGGCCTACAGCCTTGAGGAGTAAATTTGAAAAAGTGTGACACAGTGACACACTGACATTTGTATTTATTATATAGAAGATCTATGATCGCTCCCATTCTGAAGGAAGACAGCACATAAAGAAAGATAACTGATAAAAAAAGATTGCCACTGATAAATTATGTGAGATTGTATTAATGGTAATAGATGTGTATGATTTATTATAGATTAACTTATATGACAACCTATAACATCATCATGGCTTAACTTTTTGATCAAAGATTTTGCAGTTTTCCAGGACTGTCATACACTCTCCCACAGGGTTTTCAAGAAACAAGTGAATATTACTCAAGTCTGCTGCAGAAGTTTTAAAGTTGAAAGTGGTATATACCTTACTGTTTCCCAACTTTAAACTATATTTTTATACTGATAACTGTCTCAATGCACAGCTACTCAAATGTCCTTACTTGTGTGTTATAACAGGCTCAGCTTAAAAAACAATTTTCTAACATAATGAAATCAGAAAGTAAAACAAGTTTCTTCAACTGCAGTAGATGTAACAAAAGAGAAAGCTTCAGTAAGTGCAGTCAAGCATAACAAGCAGCAACAGCACTCATCAGCAGCCAGATTAGGTTTAAGGCTCCGTGTTCTCCACAGAAAATTGTCCCACAGGATAATGGCTTAGTGGATTAGAGTTTTGGTTCATAAATTAGATCACATAGTAATTGTGAGTACAGTCAGTGGAAATGTGTGAGCAATAACTGAGCAGTACTAAAATAAGAACTAGACAAGAGAAATAAGAACAATCTAGCCCTGTAAATTAAATAAAGGGTGTAGTTCAGAATTCTCTGTAGGTTACCCAGATTGACATGCACCTGATGGAAGCTGAAGGGCACAACAAAAAAAAAACATTGTGATAACAATATCAAAGATGAGAGCAATAGATGCCCCATTAAAAATGGCCTTATACCATATTAAAGTCTTGTAAGTTTCAAAAGAGAAATAGCTAGATTCAAACTAGAATGGTATCTGAGATTTTTATAACAAGTAAAATTTTTAACCATTTCTCTCAATGTAAAGAATTTTAATAAATACTAGCCAAAACATTGGATGTGGGCTTATTGTAGTAGCTAATTGTTCATAAAGTGGGATCAGTGAACTGGATTCAAATTTTCTTCACCCCTAATGGTGGGTTAAAATACAGGGCAGGTTAGCAACCAGTCTAGGAAAAGGACAACTCGGAATTCAAAACTGGTTGGGCATGGGACTAGCAACTCCATCCTGTAAAATCTATTTGCTACTGATACTATAGTCCTTCCTCCTCTTTTAGTCCCAGAGACTCCACTGAGGAGTAAAGTAGGGGGAAGCTCTCAAAAACACTGCTGTGGTTTCCATAGAATGTAAGTTTTCATGGGATGAAATAGTTAGCCCCATGCTCAACCTGTTTTGTACTCAATTTTAACTTATAATACCCAAGTAGTCTCCCATTAAGTACTGACTGGGCTCAACCCTGCTTAACTTTGGAGATCAAATGAGAACCCATGTTTCATTGCGATCTGACCATGAACTACATCAGTACTACTTAATGGGGTTCAGCTGTTTGACATCAAGGCAAGTTCCATTGCACAACTTTGGTGGGTCAACATTTCTGAGAAGCATGAAGCCTGAGGTTGGGGGATATATGGAGGAGCTCTCAGTTGGGTTTGGAACAGATTCTAAAATGCCTGAAACTGTGTCAGTTCACTTGTACAGCTGAGCCTCTCCAAGAATCTGTTGTTACAATTTCTTTGTCAATTACATCTTTATTTGCTGAAAGAACCATTGGTATTTTCTGTAGTTTTAGGCCATTCTTTCTAAACCGGAAATAGCAGAAAAAAAATCAGTTTTATTCCTTGATATTTATCTGAAAACATTTTTAAGTATTACACAATGTTTTAGAGACAAAACATGAAAAATCACATATTTTAGCCCTTTAAATACATTTATTCAGCTGATAAAAGCAACTTTAATCCCAAATTGACCCCTGCAGACCTTCATGGACGTTGAAGGTCAGCATCACCTATCCTATCATCTTTTTCTGCTTAAGCTGCTCCAATTTACATCCAAGAACATAACTGTTTGGCTGCAATACAAGTGATAGAAGCCACAAACTAATTCTCCCTCCAATGAACTCTATTGACCTTGATGAACTTCTAACCACTACCATTTGCATTTCATTGCAAACTCACTATCTCACTCCAATTTATAAGAAATTGCTTCGTTTGGTGAGAAATGGCATGTTGTACTTTTTGATGATCTTTGGTGACCTTCAGTGACTTCCGACATCAGCAGCACATAAACTCTCTCCTTTCTTTAGCTTTTGTGGTTATCAAGGCAACAACCCTTGATAACTGGAGCCTTCTATTTGCCTGCGAAAGGCAAACAGACAGACATGCACAAACTTCAGCATATTCAAAGAAATTAATGTATTTTGGAATAGGTTAGATCTGGCATGTGGCAACATTCATAGAGCACCCAGTAAGGAAGATGCTCAATGTAATTTATTTACAAAACTCTCGCATTAAACGGCATAAAATCAACTTATATTTTCTTTGTGTGATTGTTTTTCTTTTGCAAAGAAATTTTCTCTTATGCAGCAAGACTTGTCATAGATTTGGAAAAAAAAATTATTCTTTATTGCAAATAAACATAAACTGATATAATAAGTATGTTCAAAAGTAGAGGATGATGTTCTAAAACTAAACATTGCCATTATTCCGGGAATTACTCAAGTAGCATCATTATGTTTGTTGTTTTGATCAACAGGCTTTGATTGACTATTTTTTAGCTCATTTAGTGTTATGTGATGCCCTCAAATAAAACTATTGGTATTATTCTGTGAAGTATTCGTAGTAGTATCTCCATCTTTGTTGTTTTGATCAATAGACTTTAACTTGTGTGCTTTAAATGGCTTTTAATTCTGCATGATTTTCTCATATGAAATTTTGACATTATTCCATGAATTATTATTTTGTTTCTGAAAATAAGACAACTGTCAAATAAAAATTTGCCAATAACTTCCTTTATATTTTATAAATGACATTTAATTGCAACAAACTGAGAAGCAAATACTTATCTAAGTAATTAATAAGCTTTTCTTATTCCAGAAGAGGATTATATCCACTGTAGTAATTACCATCTGCAAATTCCTGTTTAAATGGTTCCCCATGTCTAACTCATCAGACTAGACATTGCTTAAGCAATGTTTTGACATCCTCAGCCTCTCTTATTCCATCATTTGATATAACGTCTCCCAAAGTTTACTTGTCACACTCTCGTGGCTTCTGCAAAATCAGTTTCTGATTCCTTTTACTTCTTATGATCTTGTTTGGAAATTATTTCTACTGCAAATATTGTCTTTAAGAAAACATATAAATTAAACTTGCTGGATGAACATAATAAAGAAACTCATTCACACACACCCATATAAATTGAAAAAATTCATATCTCCATTTTCTAGAAGAATTTACATTGAAATATTCTGTTCATTGGTTTTATTTTGAAACCAATTTTTGGTTCATTAAATCAGGCAAAGATTTTATATCCACTGAATCTTAAAGAGAAGATAGAATATTCTGAAAGACAAAGAAGGATCTTTCAAAGAAAGGAATAAGAAGAAAAAGATAAAGTGGAAGAAAGAGAAAAATTGGAAAGAAAAATAAGAAAATTTGAAATGGTAGATGGATAGAAAAAGATAAATACAAGACTTCTTCTGCCTGCTGCATCACTTCAGGACATAGGCAATCATGACCCTCCAAAACTTTCTTCTACCCCTCATGTCCTTTAACAGTTTTTCTACTATTGCTAAGACTTCAACCTCTCATATTCCAGCATCCATTCACACAAGCTCAAGCAGGTGGATTGATGCCTTCCCCTATCTATCTTCCCATCAATATTCCTTGTGAAGATTAGTTTCTCCAAGCCCTCCTTCCACATTATGTGACTAAAGAATTTCAGATGGTTTTCCTGATTTTGAGCAGAAATATTCTTTCTATTGACATTTTCTTTTGTTCATGGAATTCTAAATAACCTCCTGTAGAACCACATTTCTGTATCTGTCTATATTTCTGTGATGAGGTATTATGCATATTATTTACACTATTCGGACTATTGTCCTCATCTTTGTCACCATATTTGTTACAACGTTTCGGCCGTTGTACACTCCGGCCTTCTTCAGGTGGTTGGAATTGAACTCACACTCTTTGGGTCCTGTCACTGGATCTAACCAATGCCTTTATCCACTGTGTCATGTGTCCTCAAGGAGTTCAATACCCGGTTAAGGCAGCGGAGAACTTTCAGAGGGGAATTAACAGGAGATAACTGATAACTGACATCCATTAAACATGGTAGTGAGCGAAATAAAGGGTTCAGTTCAACATTCCAACCACCTGAAGAAGGCCGGAGCATACAACTGCCGAAACGTTGTAATAAATATGGTGACAAAGATGAGGACAATAGTTCGAATAATGTAAATAATGAAGTACATTTCTGTTGTGTCCAGTTTTCTCCCCTTCAATGTGGTGATTGTCCAGCATTCACTGCCATATAATAGGATGGATATCACATAGAAATCCAGCACTCTTTTCTTTGTTTCTAATTAAATCTTTCTGTTTCTCAACACATTTCTCAGCTATAAGAATTCTTCTTTTCCTAGTCCAATGCATGTCAGGATTTCAGTGTTGAATTTTCCATCCTCTGTTAAAATAGTTCTAGGAAATATAAACTTCTGCACCTGCTTGATATTGTCATTTCCAATTTGTTACTTGGATTTTTTTCTCGGGTCGATAACCACACATTAATCCTGTTTTTTGTGTTTTCCTTTACTACTCTGCTTAGGAGAGGTCCTGTAGTTTTCTTTCCCTGTTAACACAGTGATATCAACATATATTATTGTGTTACGGTTATATCCACTGATAATACATCCTGGTAAGGATTTGCTGTAGAGGTGGAATAAATCCAGGGAGAAGATGAAAAAAAAGAAAAATGAAAGTAAATAAAGAGTGAAAGAGATAAAAAAAAAAAATGGAAATAACAAAAAAGTAAAGAAAATTAAAATAAAGAAAGAGAAAAGAAAAATGAAAGAAAAGAATGGGAATATCAAGAAAGATGAAATAAGAAAAATATAAAGTAAAGAAAGAAGAAAGTAATAAAATAAATATTTAAAGGAAGGTGACAGTAAACAAGTAGAAAGATGAAAGAAAGAAGGAAGAACAAAAGAAGAAAGGAAAGAGAAAAGACTAGAAATGAAAAGAAAAAAGAAAAGAATGAAATGTATATTTGTAGTATAAGCACCAAAAGCTCTCGTTATTGCGAATTTACCTTTCTGGTGTGAAATTTCCTGGTTATTTTGAAAATGACATTAAAACATTGTGCTTGATTACTGTTTAGAAATTATGGACAATGTAAGTTTTTCTCATTGAATATACAGAACGTTCGCAATTACTGGCTTTGCTTTGATTAGTTATGTGGTGATGCAGCATCACTTGTCTTGATTACTGCACAATGTGCAAAGTTTGAAATGAATTCATGAAATAGTGCACAAAATAACATAAAATCCAACAATTAAAATAAAATAAAAATTACATGACTGAATAGTAAAAAAAAAGGATTTTTTACTCTTTTTTTTCAACAATGTTTTTTTTTATGTATCGTGAAAGTTTCTTGAATTTAAAGCTTTGTAAATTACATTTTAGGAAGAGATTCTGTTTCATTAGCTATAAGAAGATTTATTAAATACAATAAATAAAAATACTATTCATTTAAAAATTCATTTTAAAAATAAGCGCATTTTAAAATAACATCCGTGAAAATTGTGCAGTAATCAAGACCAGTAAGATATGAAAAGCTGGCATTAACTAAGTAAGCATCTGTGCATTACTACTAGAGGAAAACGTATGTAATCAAGCCAGTAATGGCGGCTGGACAACATGAAAAAGATCAAACTTACATTGATGATAAATTGAAAACGGCAATGTTTTAATGTCATTTTTGAAATAACTAGGCAATTTCACACCAGAATAGTACATTCTCAATGCTGGGGGCTTTTGGTGCTTATACTACAAATTTACCGAATGAAAAACGAACAAAAAGGCAAAAATAAAGAATGGGCTAAAAATGAAAGCAAAAAAAGAAAGTAAAAATAAGTGAAAAAGAAAGAAAAGAAAATCTAAATAGAAAAAGAGAAATAAGAAAGGTCAAAGAAATCTAAAAGGAGAAGTAAAAATGAGTGAAAGAAAAATGAAATAATGTTCAAACTGACATTCAATACACTATCTGAGATTGTGCAGACTTATTTGGGAGGTTACCAGACTGAGTTACTTCCCTTTGTGATGAGAACTGCTATCATATACCTTTCATGTTTCTTTCAAACTATTAAACACGCATACAATGGTTAACACATGGTTTAACCCACTAGTGACTTTGAACCAGTAAGATTATTATTGTAGCAATGCCTCATCAACTTTTTCAATATATTTTATTAAAGTAATTGTATATTACATCTCTTATTTTCCAGTTTTCATCT